CTCTGCTGGGGATCTTGGGCACGCATGCACATGCGCCTGGCGTGAGTTTAAGCCACCGGGTCCGGGATTCAAACCACAGTCGACTACTTGGGAGTCCAGCGACATAGCCATTACGCTAACTGCTGGTCCCAATTCTGTGACTTTTTGAAGAACTGCCTACTCTCTTCCACCGTGGTGTACTTTATGCACAGCTGTTCCAATTTCTCATCAATACTTGCTACTTGCTATGGGTTTTGTTTTTAATAATAGCAACCCTAACGAATGTGAAATGGTATCTCATTGTGGTTCTGACTCACATTTCAATAATAATTGATGATGTTGAGCATCTTTTCCTGTGTCTGTCGGTCACTTGTATATATATATATATATATATTTTCATTTGTTTATTTTCCTTTGGAGAAATGTCTATTCAAGTCCTTTGCCCATTTTTAAATCGCTTTTTGTTGTTGAGTTCTAGTTTTTTTTTTTTTTTAATTTTCGTTTTTTGGGGAGAGGTTTTTGCTATAGGGGCGTGTGTGCTTGCCAGACAGACAGAGAGAGACAGAGAGACAGAAAGCTAAAAATCACTCCCTAGGGGGGATGGCCACACCACAATCCCTTCTCCTCCATTCTCCTCTTGGGATCTTGGGCACGCATGCACATGCGCCTGGCATGAGTTTAAGCCACCGGGTCCGGGACTCGAATCGCAGTCGACTACGTGGGAGTCCAGCAACATAGCCATTACGCTAACTGCTGGTTCCAGTTCTAGTTCTTTATATATTCTAATTATCCATTACTTATCAGACACATGATTACAAATATTTTCTCATCCTGTAGATTGCCTTTTTACCCTGTTGATTAAAACACAAAAGTTTTCACTTCGTTTTTTTTTTTTTTTAAAGGTTTTTGCCCTAGGGTAAGTGTGCTTGCCAGACAGAGATGGAGGGAAAGTGAGAAGTCATCCCAAAAGGGAGGTGACCACACAGTAATCCCATCTCCCTTCACCTCTCGGGACTTTTGGGCATATACACAAGTGCACCCAGCATGATTTTTCAAGCTCCCAGGTTTGAGACTCAACCATGTGGGATCCAGCCACCTTAATCACCATGCCAACAGCTGGTCCTCCTCATGTTTTCCTCTAAGTGATTTGTAGTTTAAGATTTTATGTTTAGGTCTTTGATCATTTTTAATTTGTTTATTTTTTTGTATATGGTGTAAGTAAAGATCCAACTTCGTTCTTTTGCATGTGGGTATTCAGTTTTCCCAGTCTTGTTGAGAAGCCATCCTTTCCGCCATGAAGAGTCTTGGCACCCTTGACCCTTGTCAACATCATTTGACTGAACAATCAGTCTGAACAGACAGTTCTCAAAGAAGACAAACTAATGGACAATGAGTATATGAAAAATGTTCAACATCGTTAATCGTCAAGGAGAGGCATTCAATCAAAACCACAGCGAGGGCAAGCCCTGTAGCCCAGCACTTAAGCTTTGTACAGAGGAAGCTGAATCCCACATGGCCAGCAGGGTTTGAACCCCAGCCCCGAGGCTTGAAAAACACACCTGGTGGGTGCACATGTGCCTAGGATCCTGATGGAACAAAGAGCTAGAGATAAAAGGATTGTGGCATAACCAGGCTCTCTTAGAAAGTGCTTTTTCCCTCTCTTAGATGTCCTCTGGTATAAAACACACACACGCACATGCACGCACGCACGCGCACACACACCTGCAAACAGAGGTTTCATCTCACCCAGTGAGAATGGCTGTCATCAAAAAGATAAAAAATTACAAATGCTGGCAAGGATGTGGTGATGGGGAATTCTTTTACACGGCTGGTGTGAATGTAAATTAGTATAGTCATTATAGAAAACAGTATGGGGGCCAGCAGGTGGCATGGTGGTTAAGGGAGCTGGACTCCCACAGGGCTGACCGCGGTTTGAGTCCCAGACCTGGCGGCTTGCTCTCTCACTTCCTCTCTCTCTCTCACTCTGTCCCTATCTGGTCAAATTAAATTAAATAAATAAATAAAGTTAAATAGAATAATTATTTATTTTAAAAAAAGGAGAAGAAAACAGTATGGAAGTTGCCCAAAAGCTGACAGTAGACCCTCCACGTGATCCAGTAATCTCGCTGCTAGGCGTGTGTCCGACGGAAAGGATCTCAGTATGTCGCATGGCTACCTGGACCCCCTCGTTCATGACAGCACCATTCGTAACAGGCAATGCACGGACCCAGCCTATGTGTCAATCAGCAGATGCATGAAGAAAGAAACTGTGGGATATATACAAAATGGAACATCAGCCATTACAAAGAATGAAGTCCTGAGACCAGCAGATGGCATAATGGTTACGTCGTTGGACTCCCACGTAGTCAACCGCGGTTTGAGTCCCAGACCCAGAGGCTTAAAATTCATGCCGGGCATGTGTGCAGCTATGTCCAAAATTCCGAGAGGAGAGTGGAAGAGAAGGGATTGCGGCATGGCCATCCCCCTGGAGAGGATGATTCTTGCTCTCTATCTCTCTGTCTCTGTCTCTCCAGTGAGCTCATGCACCCTAGATCAAAAAAAAAAAACTCTCATATAAAAAGAAGAATGAAGTGCTGTCATTTGGGGTAGCATGGACAAACCTGGAGAGAATTATGCTAAGTGGAATAACCAATGCAGGCACAGAAAGAATAATGCCACGTGGGACCTAAGAAAGATGGCCTTACAGAAGTGAGAGAAGAACAGTGACTCCGGGGAACGGTGGGGGAAGGGAGATGGTTGTTCATGAACAGACACAAAATTATAGTTAGATGAGAGGAACAAGTTCTAGTGTTACATAGTTCAGTAGGGTACCTAGAGCTAAAAGTAGTTTATTGGGACTAGCAGGTGGTGTAGAGATCAAGGTGGCTGGATCCCACGTGGCTAGCTGCGTGGTGCGAGTCCCAGATCTGCAGCTTGAAAATCACGTCAGGTGCACGTGTGCATGCATGCTCAAAATCCCAGGAGGAGAATGGAGGAGAAGGGATTACAACAAGGTCATCCCCCTTGGGGTGTGATTTCTCACCTTCTCTCTGTCTCTCTCCAGTGAGCAATGCACCCTGCACCTGGTGGCTTAAAACTCACGCCAGGCACATGTGTGTGCATGCCTAAAATCCTGAGAGGAGAATGGAGGAGAAGGGATTGTGGCATGGCCATCTCCTCTGGGGGGTGATTTCTCACTCTCTCTCTGTCTCTCTGGTGAACACACATGCTCTGTAGCAAAAAATCTCTCTCTAAAATAAAATAAAAGGGAACCAGCAGTTAGCATAATGGCTATGTCACTGGACTCCCACGTAGTCGACTGCGGTTTGCGTCTCGGACCCGGTGGCTTAAAACTCACCCTGGGTGCGTGTGCATGCATGCCCAAGATCCCGAGAGGAGAATGGAGGAGAAGGGATTGCAGCGTGACCATCCCCCCGGGGGGTGATTTCTCGCTTTCTGTCTCTATGTCTCTCTCTGTCTGGCAAACACATGTGCCCTATAGTGAAAACCTCTCCAAAAATAAATAAATAAAAAAAATAAAAGAGGGGATTTTGACAATTTCCATCACAAAGTAATGACAAACGTCTGAGACGACAGATCTGATCTGCTAATTACCCTGATTTGTTCATTGCATACTGTCTGAAGAATCGCACGGTACCCCTCAAATATGTATAATTACTATGTGCCAAATTTTCAAAAGAATAATTTTTTTTAAACTACTAGAAAAGTACCAAAGTTATTTATTTCTTCTTACATTATGTTTGAGGAAGAAGGCAAAGATATAGAGAGAGACAGAAAGCAAGAAGTCATACCCTAGGGGGATGGCCATGCCACAGTCCCTTGTCCTCCACTCTCCTTCTGGGATCTGGGGCATGCACGCACATACACCTGGCATCAGTTTTAAGCCTCGGGTCTGGGACTCAAACTACAATCAACTATGTGAAAGTCCAGTGATGTAACCATTATGCCATCTGCTGGTTCATGTATCTTTTTATTATTTTTGTCAGGGGGCTTGTGTGCTCATCAGAGAAAGAAAGTATCCCCCAATGAGGTATACATATTCCACCATCCTTTTGCCTCCATGTCTCTAGCACATTAGGATTTTGAGCATGCGTACACATTTGCCCAGCAAGTTTTTCAAGATGACAGGGCCAGGATTTGAACTGTGGTCTTTTGTGGGAGATCTGGCTCCCTGTGCACAGCACGTAACTACTGTGCTACAGGGCTGACCCAACAGTAAGTTTTAAAAATAATTTGACCAGGAATCAGCAGATGGTATAATGGTTAGGTTGCTGGACTCCCACGTAGTCGACCACAGTTTGAGTCCCAGCTTAAAACTCACGTCAGGTACATGTGTGTGCATGCCCAAGGTCCCAAGAGGAGAGTGGAGGAGAAGGGACTGCAGTGTGGCCATCCTCTCAGGGAATGATTTCTCACTTTCCATCTATCTGTCTCTGTCTCTCCGGGGAGCACATGTGCCCTATAGCAAAAAATTCTCTTAAAAAATAATTTGACAGTGGGGCTAGCAGGTGGAGTAGTGGTTAAGGCACTGGACTCCCACACGGCCAACTGCAGTAAGCGTTCTGGACCCAGTGGCTTGAAACGCACACCAGGCATGTGTGCACGTGTACCCAAAATCCCAAGAGGACAATGGAGGAGAAGAGATTGTGGCATGGCCCTCCTCCCATGGGGTGATTTCTTGCTTTCTGTCTCTGACTCTGTCTCTTCAGTGAGTGCACACACCCTATAACAAAATTCTCTCAAAGTAATAATAGTAATAATAATAATAATTTGACCATATATGTGATGGTTTATTTCTGGGGTTCTCTATTCTATTTGTCTAAATATCTGTCTTTAAGTCAGTACAAAATATTTTGATTAACTTTGTAGTTAAGTTTTTATATCGGAAAGTATAAGACTTCCAACTTTGTTCTTCTTTAAGATCGTTTCAGCTCTTTGGGGTCCCAAGGGATTCATTCCATATGAATTTTAGGATTTCCCTACTTCTTCATTTTTTTTTTTTTTTTTTTTTTGAGAGGTTTTTTCGCTATAGGGCGCGTGCGCTCGCCAGACAGACAGAGAGAGACATAGAGACAGAAAGCAAGAAATCACCCCCCCGGGGGGGATGGTCACGCCGCAATTCCTTCTCCTCTGTTCTCCTCTCGGGATCTTGGGCACACATGCACATGTGCCCGGCATGAGTTCTAAGCCACCGGGTCCGGAACGTGAACCGCGGTCGACTACGTGGGAATCCAACGACATAGCCATTACGCTAACTGCTGGTTTCCGGATTTCCCTACTTCTGAGAAAAAAAAAATTATCATTGGGATTTTGATAGCTATGCATTAAATCTGTAGCTTGCTTTGGGTAATATTTAAACCTTACCAATATCAAGTCTTCTAATCTATGAACAAGGGACATCTCTTGGGAATATTTGTGGTTTGCAGTATATAAATCTTTTGCCTCCCTTGTTAAATATATTCCTAAGAATATTTTGTTGTTGTTGTTGCCATCATAAATGGTATTTAATTTTTTTCTTTTTGGATTATTCATTGTTAGCAGATAGAAAAAACAGATTTCTGGGGGCCAGCAAGTGGCATGGTGATTAAGGGACTGGACACTCCCACATGGCTGACCACGGTTTGAGTGCTGGACCTGGTGGCTTACTTTCTCACTTTCTCTCTCTCTCTCGCTCTCTCTCTTGTCAAATTAAAATAAATGAATGAATAAATAAAATTAAATATTTTTTAAAAAAGAAAGAAAACAAAAAACAGACTTTTTTTTTTGGAGAGGTTTTCGCTATAGGGCGCGTGTGCTCGCCAGACAGAGAGAGACAGAGAGACAGAAAGTGAGAAATCACCCCCCAGGGGAGATGGTCACGCCACAATCCCTTCTCCTCCATTCTGCTCTTGGGATCTTGGGCACACACGCACATGCGCCCACCGTGAGTTTTAAGCCACCGGGTCTGGGACACAGACCGCGGTCGACTACGTGGGAGTCCAGCGACATAGCCATTACGCTAACTGCTGGTTCCTGATAAAACAGAATTCTGAGAGTTGATTTTGTCTCTCACAACTTTGCTGAATGTATTCATCCTAACCCTTTTTTTTTTTTTTTTTTTTTTTTGTGGACTTCAAGTTGTTTAGTTTACTTTTGTTTTTTTTAGCTTGAGACCTGGGTAGGAATGGTTTTCCTGCCATCTTCAAAGTCAGTGGGTGGGCTTTCCCCGGCTCCCTGTGCACTGAGGGTGCTGATCAAAGATCCCAGGTGAGCTCAAGGGTCTGGTTTTCCAGCTTCCTGCAGGCCAGGCCCCAGATCCACGGCATCCCCATGCAGGCGCTGGCTGGTTGCCTGCCATGCCTGTCTCCCCTCCAACACTCTCCCCAGAGCTGCTGCGTCAGCTCACTCGCCGCTCAGCTTGTCTGCTCTCTTTCACTTAAAAAGAGGCATTGCGTTTCTATGAATTTGGAGCACGGGTGTCCACACGAGTGCATCAAGTACATGCATTCACAGGGACGCACAGAAAGCAACACTATGTCCATGCTGAGAAGTCTTGATGCAGAATGTAGCTACCGTGGGAAACGTCTTGGGCCAGTCCGCCCCATAGTCTAATGGCTAAGGAAGCCAGATTCCACATGGCTGACCACGTGGTTCGTATCCCAGCCCTGGCACTTGAAAAACATTATGGATGTGTGTGCATGTACCTTAAATCCTGACAAGATAGAGAAACAGAGGAGAAGGAATTATAGTGTACCCATGCCCCATTGGGGGGATGCTTCCTTCCCTCCCTCTCTGTCTCTTTCTGGTGAGTGCATGTACCCTCTGGCATAGGAAAACAAAACAAAACAAAACAAAAACACACACACAGAAAAACAGTGGGGCTGGCAGGTAGCATGGTGGTTAAAGATGCTGGACTCCCACATGGCTGACCACAGTTCAAGTCACAGACCTGGCAGCCTGCCTTCTCACTTTCTCTCTCTCTTTCTCTGGTCAAATTAAAATAAATAAATAAATAAAGTTAAATAAAATATTTTTAAAAAAATCTGAGGAGTGGGCAGCTGTCTCCTGCTACTGAGGACCCACTAAGGGCCAGATACTGTCCCAGGTGCTTTCCAAATGCTCGATTTCGTTCCAGCCTCCCTCCAGCCCAGTCCAAACACAATCTGAAAGGCTCCAAGTTCTAAAGCTTTCTGATACTGGAAAGTATGAGACTTCCAACTTGATTCCTCAAGATGGTTTTAGCTGGTTGGAATCATGATGCCACAAGTGGAAATTCCACACCTGACAGGTGACAGGTTGCAGTCAAAACACTACAATCCAGGTAACCAGCAGTGAGCATAATGACTATGTCGCTGGACTCCCACGTAGTCGACCGTGGTTCACGTCCCGGACCCGGTGCCTTAAAATTCACGCCGGGCGCGTGTGTGTGCGTGCCCAAGATCCCAAGAGGAGAATGGAAGAGAAGGGATTGTGGCGTGACCATCTCCCCTGAGGGGTGATTTCTCGCTTTCTGTCTCTCTGTCTCTCTCTGTCTGTCTGGCAAGCGCACGCGCCCTATAGTGAAAACCTCTCAAAAAAAAAAAAAAAAACACTACAATCCAGGGGCCAGCCAGTGGTGTGGTGGTTAGGGCCGCTGGATGCCACAAGGCCTACTAGGCAGTTCAAGTCCTAGACCTGGTGGCTTCAAAAACACGCCAGGTGTGTTTGTATGCCCAAAACCCCAGGAGGAGGATGGAGAAGAGACTGGCATGGCCATCGCCCCAGGGGGTGATTTCTCACTTCGTTTCTCTGTCTCTCTCCAACAGGCACACACACCCTCTAGCAAAAACAAAAACAAAATCAAAAAACAAAACAATGCTACAATACCAAGTAGTGTCTAAAACCCCCTTCAGCCTATGTGTATAAGGTGCATGTGAAACGTCAGTGAATCTCGTGCTTAGAACTCGGTCCTATCCCCAGGATAGTGCATGTGTATAACATATCGCACACTCACGCTCCTATACACTTCTGGTTCGAAGCCCTTTAGAGAAGGGCTGTCAGTTGTGCTATCATTGTCGCTGATTCGGTTGAGAACGCTGCGGAAAGCGCGAACAGCAAGGGTAGAAGCCGGACTCCGACCTAGTACAAATCCCTATCCTTCCGACAGCCGCCTCTAGTTGTTCATCCTGCCCAGTGCTCCGGGGTGGGTAGGGTCTGTGTGGCTTCCTTCCTCTTTTCTGTCCTCAGCAGCCAGTGGGTGAGACCTGGGAGTAGCGGCCATGGCTCTGCAGAGGCTGTGATTCTGCCCCCCAGAGCTGTCCACAGCTCTAGAAGACCCAGGGAACTCACACGGCTCTTGGCCTGAGCGCCCGTTACTGCGAGGAAGGAGGCTTTTGCCAAGGACTCCGAGGGGAGTGGACTCTGGTTGGGACCCAAGACACCCAGCCCTTGCCGAGACATTGTGTGAGCCGGGCTGGGCTTCCAGACGTGGCCCCTGCTGCCCCACCCCAGCCAGGGTGGTGCTTGTGTGGGAAGCACTTTAAATCCGGCTGCCAGACCCCTGGACGGGAGAAGCAGCAAGGGCCGGCCACCATGAGCAACTCCTGCGGTCTCCTGGCGCTCCTGCCGCTGCTACTGCTGGTGGCCTCCGCAGGCCCGGCTGGAGCCCTCAAGGATGAGGAGAAGCGTCTGATGGTGGAGCTGCACAACCTCTACCGGGCCCAGGTGACCCCGCCAGCCTCGAACATGCTGCAGATGGTGAGTATGGCCAGCCACTAGCCTGCGGGATGGAAGGGGTGCTGGGAAGGGCCTGCCACCAAACTTTTCCCCCCATCTGGACCACTTGCTCAGAGACTCATCTCTCTGGCCAGGGACGGAGCCCCTGACGTTGTGCAATTCACGGCTCCCCGTAAGCAGCCCCAGTATACAGATGAGGACACTGAGGGTCAGAGGAGTGCTCGCTCGGAGCACGCCGCTGGTAGGGCCAGATCTTCCCCCCAGTACCCCCTAAAAGCATGTGCCCTGGGAGGGGGCATGCAGGAAGTTCTTCACATCCTTGAGAAACTAGCCTTCCTCCCCCAGGAGAGGAGGAAGCAGGCAGCAGGGCCGTGTGCACCTGGAGCAGGAGGGCAGGCCGAGGAGGTGGGCTGAGCATGGGCAGCAGAGGCAGAGCGGCTCCAGAGTACACTGCTCAGGTTCGCCTACGACCCTGGGACTCGGGGAGAGCCCCATCACCTTGCTGACGCCCACTTTCTCCCCTGTAAAAGGGGGTCATCATTAGGGCTACAGATACACCCGCATGAATCGCATCTCAGAAATGACAGTGAGGGGGAAATGAGATCTCGAAAACATATTTGTAAGCGGGTATACTAGAGGAAGCGTGGACAGGTGTAAAATCACTTACGCACTGTGAGGCAGCGGCAGAGCGCGCAGATGTACACAGACCTGCATGCAGAGGCCAGGCCTGGGGTGCTGGGTGCCTGCTGGGGAAGGCAGGGTTAGAGGATAAAAGAGGAAGTTGCCTCCTCCTTGCCCTCTGAGGGCTAGACTGGCCCGGCCCCTCCTCCCACCCAGGTGGCTTAGGTGGTGGGGGAGCAGTGTCCAGGGACCCTCATAGCTGGTGCCCAAGAGCAAAGTCCCAGCTGGGAAACACAGCAGTAAGATCGGGCCCCGAGACCTGAGTTCTAACCCCAGCTCCGTCAGATCTGGCCAACCGACAATATGCATAATTGATAATCTGGCTACTCCTGGCCCGGTGGGCCCCTTCCCCTTCAAAGGCCTGTGTTTCCTGACCTATGACACAGGGCAGGCATGGCCCCGAGGGCCAGACAGAATGACAAGGGCCAGAAAGATCTAGGATGGTTCTGCATGCTTCATCAGCACCACCGTTCACAGCGCCATCAGCCTGGGCGACCAGGAGCCCCAGACAAGAGGTCCGGAGCCCACCATGCCAGCAGCTCCCCAACTGGGGACCCAGATTTGCTGGGCCTCAGTTCCCCCATCTGTAGATCCCTGAGCCTCACAGTCTTGCTGGCTGGGACCGGGGGCTAACAGGCTGGGAGCTGCTTCTGGAAGAGGGTGTGCGCTGGGACAGGACCACCTTCTGGTAAGCAGCCTGGATACTGAGGGGACACGCCACACCGGCTGGGAATGCTGTGGGGAGAAGGTGGAGTAAGGCTGGGCTGGGATGCAACATGAACTCAAACTGCGGAGCGAGATGGCCTGGGTTCAGATCTTGCTTTGCCACTTAGTAGCTGTGTGACCTTGGTCAGGTTACTTCCCCTCTCTGCGCCTCAGTTCCCGCGTTTGTAAAATGGGAGAGATGACACAGAACAGTTCCTCCGTGAGTGGTTGTAGGATTAAATGAGTGAGTACGTGTAAAGCACCTTAACACGAAGCCGGGACACAGTAAGTGCTCAATACACGTTTAACCTGAAAGAAGGGATGAAGGCAGGGTGAGGCAGGTAGAGCCCCTACCTGGGTCCCTCCGTCTCCTTCAGCCGCCATATCTAATCGCCAGCTTTACTTCCCAGAAACTGCAGCTTTCCTGAACACACCCCCTCCCTCTCCACACCACCTGGCTCTCCTTTGCACGACCCCAGTTTCGGGGCCCAGGGACAGCTCCTCAGCCTCTGATTTCTGTTAGGAGAATGAATGATCCAATGTATGAGTCTGACCCTGTTCAAAACCCTTCGATGGCTCCCACTGACTCCTCGCTCCCTCAGAATAAAGCTGCACCCCTGACGGAGAAGACTCGGTGTTCTGGCCCTGGCCCGCCTCTCCAGCCTCCTCTCCTGGTCACCCTTTATCCTTCACTGTCCTGAAGAGCTCGTCTTGCCCTGGCCCAAACCTGCTCAGCTCCAGGGCCTTGCTGGTGCACGCCTTTGGCGCACGCCTCTCCACTCTCAGGCTGGGCTAACAGCCTCTCTGGGGCCCTGTGACATTAATTGGGTAGCTGTCATTTCCTACCCCATGGCCAAGCCGGCTTTCATGACCATGTGAACTCAAGCTTCTTGGTTCTTTGTTTTAAAAAAGCTGATTTATTTATTATTATTCAATTTGACCAGAGAGAGACAGAAAGAAAGAGACGGAGAAGGAGAAAGCAAGCTGCCAGATCTGGGACTCAAACCGTGGTCGGCCATGTGGGAGTCCAGCCCCGCTCCTTGGTCCTCACTGTAGGCCCAGGGCCAGCACTGTGTCCAGGATGGCTGAATGAATGGATCAATGGATGGGCAGATGGCTTTGCTTCCAGATGGCGACCAAGTGACCAATGTGGGCAACTCCACAAGGGGCTTTGGGCAACTGAATGAGAACAGTAAGACCTCAACCAGGCCGGCCTTGTAACACAGTGCTTAAGTGCTGTGCATAGGGAGCCAGATCCCACATGGGAGACCCCAGTTCAAATCCCAGCCCTGGAAATTTGTAGAACACACCGGGCACATATGTATGTGTGCCCAGAATCCAGAAAAGATGGAGAAATGGAAGACAGGGGATTAAGGGACTGTGTGTGGTATGGCCATGCCCCACTGGAGGGTACTTTCTCTTTATCTGTCTGTGGTGAACAAATGCACCCTCTGACCTGGTGGTTAAAGTTCCAGACTCCCACTGGACTCCCACGTGGTTGACTATGGTTTAAGTCTCAGACCTGGTGGCTTGAAAATCATGCCAGGTGTGTGTACCCGTGTGACCAAAATCCCAGGAGAATGGAGAAGAAGGGATTGTAGTATGGCCATCCCCCTGGAGGCACAGTGATTTCTCACTTGTGAAATCACTCCCCACCCCCCGTCTCTGTCTCCCCCCAGCAAGCACATGTGCCTATAGCAAAAACCTAAGAATCAAACCCACAGAAACACAAAACAAAACCACCACAAAGCAACGGCTCTAATGGTGGAACTTCTGGCATCTACTCAGAATGCAGAGGTAGTCCGAATCTGAAGACGACCCTGCTTTAAGCAGAAGCTTCACTAGCTGACAAAGATCTATGGCCCCCTACTGTGTGCCAGCACTGGGCTGGACATTGATGACCTCTCACTGTCTTATCTTGAAGGCGCTCCACGGGTCACCCCACACACCCTGATCCTGGTCCCCAGCACCTGTCCCTTCCCCACGCCCACTCTCGCACTGCTGCCCAGAGTTGAGAACCTCAGGGATCAGCGATGTGGGACTAAAACGCCCAGGAGGGGAGGGACTCAGCGAGGTCACAGCAGCGGGGCTACCCCAGCCCAGTGCCCCCACCCTCTACTCCTCCAGCAGCTGCCCCTGGAAACCTAGAGCGGGTGGGAAGTGGGTGTGGTGACACAGTCTCCCTTTCAGGGTCACCTCAGCTCTTGGCCCTTTCTGGGCTGTCTGGCTCCCAGGGCTGGATGGGCCCCAGTGGGTGGGGCAAGCGCTGCTGCCAGGGTTTCCAGGAGAGGCCAAGGACAGAGTTTAATGGGATCCAGGCCTCTCTCCCCAGTCCTCTGGTCAGATGTCTTCTCGCTAATCTCTCTTCCCACCCACGCTCAGTCTGTCCTCCCAGCTGGGGACACAAAACCTCGGAGGCCCTGTGGCCTAACGTGCCCCCTGCCACCATCTCACCTGAGGTCCCCACTGGGCAACACTGGAATCTGACAGCTGTGGGCTGCCAAGACCCAAAGGAGACCTGTCGGCGAGGGGCCTCTTGCCGGGGACATTTGATTTTCTTGGGGAAAGGGACTGTCATTTGACAAGCTGAGAGTATTTGGGAATAGCATTTGGGCGGGAAGCCTGGAGAGGGGAAAGGCCTAAGGCTGCACTGTCTGAGGGCAGGATGGGAATTGAGAGGGGCGAGGAGGGTGCTGGCTCCCCAGCTCAGACTCATGGGGGGCAGGGAAATGGGCTAAGCACAAGCCCACCTCGGGGAAGACAAGTGCCACGGTGGCTGAGGTGCTGGACCCCCACATGGCCGACCACGGTTCAAGTCCCGAACCTGGAGGCTTGTTTTCTCACTTTCTTGCTCTCTCTGTTCAAATTAAAATGATGATGATGATGATGATGAATACAATTAAATAAAAATATTAATTGAAAAAAAGCCCACCTTCCACTCTCCTTGAACAAGTTGGGTCTTCAGAGAAGTTCAAGCACCCGAGGAGAGAGCAGAGGCATCTTGGTCCCCCATTCACACAGAAGGGTGTGACCAGAACACCACAGTCTTCCCAAGGAGGGCTCAGGAAGGCTAGGCCATGTGTCCCGAACCCCCACTGGTGCTCGGGCCTAGTTCAGCCAGCTCCAGGGCCTGGGAGGGCATCCTCCCGCCTGCCCACAGAAACCCACCCGGAGCAGGGAGGTTCCAGGGCACGGCTGGGGCGCCAGGTACGAATGCGATGGCCGCCTCTGGCGTCCAGGACACCTCCCCACAGAATCTTTGGACGTCCTCACCTCCCTCCCCCCCCCTGCGACCCCTCCCCCTGCAGAGCTGGGACGACGAGCTGGCCGCCTTCGCCAAGGCCTACGCGCAGCAGTGCGTGTGGGGCCACAACAAGGAGCGCGGGCGGCGCGGCGAGAACCTGTTCGCCATCACCGACGAGGGCGTGGACGTGCATCTGGCCATGGAGGAGTGGCACCACGAGCGCGAGCACTACAACCTCAGCGCCGCCGCCTGCGACCCGGGCCAGGTGTGCGGCCACTACACGCAGGTGCGACGCCCGCGGGCGGGGGCTTGGGG